CAATGAGAGAAGTCCCAGACGGAGCAGTGAAGGGAAACTAGAATTGAGCGCAGCTGCGTAGGAAGGCAAGGGCCAGGCTAGCCAAGACCCAACGTCTGACCCTAATCATGATTGGTTCGTAGGCCTTTCTGGTGTGCATGAGAGCGAAAGCTGTTAAATCTTGTTAAATCTTCACAAACTCGAAGGTTGGCATGGAGCCCTGAAGACATTGTTAAATGGAAATGGGGCTTCGCAAGTATGAAAGGGTGTACTGCAAAACTGAAGCCAAAAGCCTGCTCTCAGCACTAACTGATCTGGTTAGGGCTTACATAAGACTATTCAGTTTTATTGTTGAGATTTGACCAAAARAGTTGCAACTTCAGCATTATTCAACATAAGCTGAACTAAGGTACCAGGAAATTTATGTTCTTTTAGGAAATGCTTGATCTTTAATTTGTTTAGTATTCATTTTTACAAGACTTGTAACATTCAWAGATTCATTATTTGAACTTKATTTCATCATTTAGTYCAGGGATGGGCAACTTAAWTGATGGAAAGGGCCACAATTTTTTTGTTGATACCACTAAAGGGCCACTGTTGTCACTGTTATGTACTTGTGACRTCAGTAAACTTCTCATATTTAGCTTTGTGCAACGTGTTGTAGTGGCAGCTTTATAATAAAATCCTTCACAACAGACAGCTTCTCTAAGCAGACTAAACGCAGACTGTTTACCTTGAAACTCTGTGAACAGATACCTCACAAAATAAAATACAGAACAAATAACAGAGAGATTGAATGTAATGGGTATTTCAGGATATTAACATCTGTCAGCACTAAAGAGGCAGTGTGGTGTGTACGACTAGCACCCTCTTTCTTCTCCTCAGGACAGCTGCGACACATCTCCAAACTGAAACCTTGGAGCTTGCTGGAGATCCTGCAGGACAAGTACGAGTGGCCCCAAGAGGAAGCCGTCCACTTCAGTTCCTTTCTTCTGACCATGTTGGAGCTGCAGCCGCAGAAAAGAGCCACAGCCGCTCAGTGTTTAAAACATCCCTGGATTACCTCCTGAAGACACGCAGACTCTGTGCTTCCCAGAGACACGTTCTGTTACACGGGATGTGGCCACGTTGTGGATATAAGTTGGTGCTGGCATCATAAAGAACTGCTTTCAGTTTGACGATGGACTTTTTCCTTCAAGTTTTTACTTGGAAGTCTTGCAGCATTTGAGTAGCTGTCACATTCAGGCAGAGCAATGACCAAGGGGAAGAGATTCCTGACACACATAAAAAAGTCTGAGGTTTAATAAARGGACGTTTGAATACTTCGTGTCTTGTGCAACACGTCAATCGGGGATTCCTCTGTGAGGGAGGCACACTTTTCTGAGAAACAGTTGTACTCCCACTTACTACAGGGGAACTGCTTGCTTATACATGAGGAACAAACTGCTACTGGTTCAGTAGTTAATGAGGAAAACATCTAAATGAAAATAGGATATTTCCTATTTTCCAAACCTCTTTTTAGACATCAAGCCTAACGTGAAGAAGTGTCCTGAACAAACTGAGCAGGCCCAGCTCTCTGTGGGTGTGTGTGACTGTGTGGAGCGTGTTAAACTGCTGCACATTCCTCTGGCGCTCACATTCTGCACAGCTCAGATTAGTGGGGGATGGAAGGAAGGAGAGGGAGGAGTTAGTTTCGTGGAAACGAGCGCAAGGCACATGCCTGGCTTTCAGAAAACTCAGGTTTTCTGGTAGTGACAGGAGGTGAGGAGAGGAGAGGGAAGACCGCCTGCGTCCATGTGTAAGTCCTGCTTTCTCTTCAGGTTCTCATTAAGAATGCACGACTTGTTCAGTTCTTCAGAAGACTTGGTTCTGATTTTGCTGCAGAGGAACTGAGCTGCACTCAGTTTGGAAATCTGCACTGCTGGAAAACAAAGATGACATTTTTTTTGTTAGCTTGTGCAATGGCACTGAGTATAGTACACAGAGTTCTGACAGTCTTGATTTTGTAGCTTTTTAATTTTTTTAAAATTTAAGTTAGAATTTGCTTGGGAGCAGATTATGTGTATTTTTGCATCTGACATGCCAATACTTCTGCATTTCAGTTTTCTTTGTTCAGCAGGAGCCAGTGTAAAGGTTGAAATTTCAGTTCCCTGCCTTTGGAAACGCAGCTCTTAACCCCACAGCCAGTTGCCACGCAACTCTAACTCCAAATCAAAAGGAATTACCTCAACTACCCCGGCTCTTACACAGCTGCTTTATCTGTGCCAGGTAGTCTTTTTTCCAGGCATGCTGTGCCTGACGTTCCCACAGAACGAGCTCCTAGTTAAGATTCAGGCTGTGCTTTTCTCCTTCAGTTTTTTTTTTTGTTTTCTTTTATCAGTGCTGCAGCTCTCCTATATGTTGCTCCTGAGCGTGGCTCAGCTGCAGCTGTTGTCAAAAGTCTTTTTTTACAATAATATCATTGTATTGAGTGGGTGTACGGTTTGGACATGACAGCAGCAGCAGCTGGAAAACAGAAGCAGCTTCAGTACTTTACTCTGCATAGTAAACACCCATCTCATTAGCTCCACACAAAGAGACGAGATGAGGGCAGACAGGAGAGCTGTTTGATCTGCTTTAGCTCAWGTGTGCTTTGTGTCTGTTTACATCTACCTCTTTCCATTAAACAACGATTTGTAAAAATGTATGATATGCACACACGTGCATATATCTAGTATAATTTACTGATGTTTTGTTTGCTCTGTTTCATTTGCAGAATGTGGCTGACTCTTTTTTACAGCCTCACCGGTGGGGCAGCCCTGCTGTACGCTCTGTACAGCTGGGTGATCCCCTCCATTGTGCAGTATCATCCAGGTTTGGCACTTTTTTGGCACGACAGGGTTGTGGAACAACTGTTGAACACACTGACCCAGTCCACACGACCTCAGGTGTGCTTTCACTCTGCATTCAGCTCTCACAAAGTCAGCTAACACTGTAACGCTCTACTTATTTACCACGAGAGGAGGAAAGTAGTGCGTACAACCCCAATGTGAAAAAAAGGGTAAAGAGTCTGGTGCCTGGTTCTGAAAAATTACAAAAAACAATAATAATCAGCACTCTGAAAATATCAAAATATTTTAATAAGGGAAAAAATAGGATGTGTTTCGGCTACATGTAGCTGAAACCTGTCTAGGTACAGCTCTCTCTGGGCGTGTGACTGTGGAGGGAATTAGACATGTTGTTTTAAGCTGACTACTTGTAACACATCCTATTCTTGTCCTTATTAAAACCTTTTGATATTTTTGGAGTGCTGGTCATTCCTGTTTGTTTTACTTATTTATCAACCCAGTATATAATATATTCTGAATAAGTTGGGACATTGTGTAAAATAAAAACAGAATGCAATGA